ATGCGTATGGTTGTATTGCACATTCTGAACGGTGAAGATGAGATGAAACCCATCCAAAAAGGTGTTATGTGTGTTCAACAGTGACTCGTCAATCTCAGGTCAGTTTCGGTCTAACTCCGATCCAGGGAGATCCAACCATTAACTCGGGCTGATATTTGGATATATGCTGCATAAGATGTTGGTTTATCATTTTACCGTTGGGATTTGTTATTGTTTCAATGGTTGGTGAGTCATGGTCGTCGGAAGCTTTGCCCAGAATCTGTCATGGCTTCCGATTTGAAAACTCAAATCACAACACTCGCCGCCAGCACAGGAAGACAGAGAAGAGGAAGACAGTCGATCTACTGGTTCTGCCACCTCCGGCAGCGGCAACGCGTAGAGCAAACACGTCGCCACTGTTCACACTTCGGCACTGTTCACGAGCACTGTTCACACTGCCCTATAAGGGACTTCAATGCAATTTCTGGAGTTTTAAGGACTATTTTGTAAATCTTAAATTATTTAATATAATTTTTATTTAGTTTTGGATTTTTTTAATTTGTAATGTGGATGTAAAAAAAAAAGAAAAAGAAAAGGAATAAAAAATGCATGTGTGTGTTTGTATTTGTTTTATGAATTTTTTTTTATTTATGATAAAATTGCAGAGAATAAAAAAGAATTTAATATTTTGATTGGATCACGGTGTAGAAGTACAGACTTGTACGGAAGTTGTATTTCTAAAATCCGATGAAAAGACAAAATTTTTAAAGCTTCTTTAACACATCAAGTCCATGAAGCAGCTTACCTCAGGTATGGTGTGTTAGGGGTGCTAATACCTTCCCTAACCACAATCGGTCCCTTACCCGTGAATCTCTGACAAGACTAGTACAATTAGGTTTCCTAGTAACCTTCAATTAAATACTAGGTGGCGACTCCTAACGAATCCAACAAGATCAAATCAAATAATAACAATGAAAAATTGCCAGAGCCGACACCGTGCGGATTTTTTTTGACGTGCGACACCCGTTATTATAAGTAGAGCCTAAAGAGATGTTGTTGCTTTCTCTCTTATTAT